ATATCTTGAGTTCAGCCATCTCATCTTGCGATAAACTGTAAATTGGTCCAAATGGTGGTTGAGTTCCTTCTTTGAGGTCGATTGAACAATCATATGGGCCATGCTCAGGAAGAATATCTGCATTCTTTTTCTCAAAAACGTCTTGATACTCCTGATATTGACTTGGAATGCCACTTGAAGTCTTTACGTTTTCAGAAATAGGTGCAGCATAAATAGCAAAAGTTGACCCTTTTTTTGCTGCGTATATAAATGATTTTGTACCTATCAGTACGGGTTTTACTATACTAGACTTATAATTTTTTACTTGGTTGGTAGAACTATTAATAACGCTCTGGGAAAAGTCAAGTTTATGCGAATTCCAATCTATTCGAGGGTTATATTTTTCTAGCTAGGATAAACCTAAAATAACTGGATTGGACGGGGATTTAATTATGTTAAAAGCTATGTAGCTATCATGACCGTCTATTCTTACTTTTATAGGATGAGTTTCATGAGTGACATCTCTAGAAGACAAGGGACGACCATCTATGACTTCTACATGTACTGGTTTAGGTTTTTGTACAAAAGGTATTTTACGACTTTTAACAAATTGTTCATCTAAAAAACATGCTGAGGCTCCTGAATCTAATAAAGCAGAGGCTTTGTAATTCTTAGGTCCTAAATATAAGTCTATTATAAAACAAGGAGAGGGTTTCGAGGAGAGGATAGGACCTTCATTAGGAATTGTATAAGGTTCCAGCTGCATGGTCCCTATTGTAGCTGGACGAATCCGTTTTTTGACATGTTGTCTTCTTTGACCCTCGTACCCCTCATTTTATAGTTGCATCGTTTCTTTGGACAATGTTGAGCAGCGTGCTTAGGTTCTCCACAATATAAACATAATCCTTCTTGACGACGACGAATCTTTTCTTGCTCAGTTAGGGGTTTAAAACGTATCGCATCAATTTGCATGTCTTCTACTTTCGAATGTACGTTTGTCAAAGATGTTGATGTTGCCATTGAGTAATAACGTTGAGGTTCTTGTGAATGATTCTTGGATCGAAATTCGAAAAGTCGATTATCACATTTTACCGCAAAATCGATTGCTTGACTCAAAGTTTGAGGATCAGGTAAGTTGAGCATCAATTTCTTTACTTCGTATTGCAACCCATAAAGAAATTGACTGATGAGTGCAGCATCATCCCACTTGATGTCAATTGCAAGTTGTCGAAATTGTGAAGCATACACTGTTACTGAGCGATTTCCTTGTCGCAGAATTTGGATCTTATTTGTTGCAACACGAGTTGCATCGTGTTCACCATACATAGATCGAAACTCCACCAAAAAAACTTCCAAATTGTCCAATATTGGATTTCGTTGTTCAAGAAAAGATGAAAACCACGATAATGCAGAACCTGAAAGTAGAGTGCCAATAAACCTGACTTGTGATCCTGGAGTTGGATAGCTTTGTGGTTGAAGTTCAATTGCCAATTGTACTTTATTGATGAACCCTCGAAACTTTGATCTCGTACCATCAAATTTCTTGGGTAAGGCAATTCTTCGTTCTCTAGTGCTTACAGGGTGTTGTACAATTGGAGAAGGAACGTGATTTGTTGTAGATGTTGAAGCAGCTCCGATCATCTCTATATCCCCACTTTCTGCTATTCTTGTTCTTTCCTGTGTTGGTGAATTGAGTTGATGCATCGCAAGCATTAACTCCCTCATTTGCTCCTGCATTTGTGCCATTGTACTCTTCATTTCAACAAGCTCTGCCATAATGACACTAAGAAGAAAAATTTGTTTGATACTGCTCAAGACAAAAGAAAAGAAAGACTTGATAATAAAGAAGATACTAAGAACAATATCAGTTTAGAAGTGGGTAATCCGCAAACTTCTAATACGCTTATGTCTTGTGAAGAGAAAGGAGTAATCCACTCTTGCTTAAGAAAAACAAAGCTCTGATATTGTAAGTGTACTCTTGTCAATCTGTCAAGGACAAGAACTCAATGAAAAACAATTCAGACAAGTGAGCCTTCACTCAAAGAGAGGTAACAAAATATAAATAAACAAGTATATATATTGAAAGAGAAACTGGAATGGCTATTGCCAAAAGACAAGAAAACTAGAGACCCTTGAAACTAGACTAGAAGCAAGAAAGGAGTTGACAAGAATGAAGAAGGCTTCACTCTTGTCTCTATATATACTATCTAACTAGGGGCTACGTGGCGACGTTCTATAGGACCTCTAATATGTGTTGACTTTGTAGGACACATGCCTTGACTTACAAGGCAAGTTTTTCTATGTGTAGGCCACATAGTTAGCTTGATCTTCAAGCTAACAACATGTGTGGCACATGGCCAACTTGTTGACCACGTTTCTAATCCAGAAAGTCAATTAAAGACACCTATGAAGTCAAAGCAGCGTCTAAGAAGTTTTTAGGAAGCTTCTATATTAAATATTATATAATTAACTTATTTTTATCTACTTTTACTTAATTCTACCTATTTCTATATGTAATTATTAGCTTACATGATTATGGCCGTGACAATAGGTAAATTTTCTTATTGAAGTATGGATGCCATCATCTCCTTGGATATAGAAGCTTAGGAAAGTTATTGCATTACACATTGAACTGCTTCAGGTCTTGCATTACCATGAAATCTTACAAAAAATACTTCAATTCTAATAGTTCTACAAAATAAAGCTTTTAGTATGTTCATAATAACATCTAACTTGGACTCAAGAAACTCAACCATACCAATATCTTTACCTCTAGCCATCTTAAAAAAAAAAAAAAAAAAAAAAAAAAAACTTTTAAATAATATCAGTTTAGAGGAGGATATTCCACAACTTCTTAAGTGCTTGGATGTCTTTAAGAAGAGAGGTAATCTACTCTCTATCAAGAAGAATCAAGCTGTAGAAATTAAGACAAATAGTGCAAAACACAATACACAATATTATTTTTGTCTTATATTTAAACTATTCTATTTTAATTTGCTACACCATAAATTGAGAAGAAAAAACATTCTTATTAAGTAAAAGATAAAAAATCTAAATACTATTTAATCAAGGTATTTCTCACACAAAAAAAGTAGAATCCAAGAGTGTAAGTTTGTATAAAGAAAATCCTAAAAACTTTATTAAAAGGCTAATTACCATAGCTAAAAAAAATCTTACAAAAAAGACTTTCTTTCTTTGAAAATCACTCATAAGATTTGACTTGATAAGAATGTTAAGTTAAGAAATTTTTTCCACCTAAGTCTTCAAATCTTAAATGATACTATGAAAGTCAATTAGTAAAAAAAACTAAGTGGATAAAAATCCACTACAATAAACTTAATTACATACATCTGATGGGATTTGGTACCCAATGCCACATCAAGTGATATTTCAAATAATAAAAAATAAAAAATAATTTTTTTTCGGTCGATATCTTCTTAATGTCTTCTATCGATACATATACATAATAAAATTCTTATTCATACTATAAAGTTTCAAGATAAATTTGTATTAAAATAATTCTTAAGTATAATTAATAAAATTTTTAAAATAAATAAATTATTTATATAAAATATATTATAAAAATTTATCAATAATTTTTTTTAAAAAAAATCCAATATTATTGCACATAATTTTTTATTATAAATTTACTTTGAAATATTATAGTATAAATAAGAGTTTTGTTGTTTATGCACAAGGTGTGTAAAATGGAAGGTATATAACTAGTAGTTTTTTTATTAAAAAAAAATTGTGTTTTATTTTTAATTGATACATAATAACTGAGTGTCATTATAAAATTTCTTATGCTCAATTAATGTCATGATTACATACTAAAAAGACTTTAGTACAATTAATAAATTTAGTTTTGATTATTGATTTTGAAATCATATGTAGAATTTTACTATATATTTTCAATATAAGATTTTGAAGCTCTTTGTTGTAGAATTTTTTTCTAGTAAAAAAATATATGTTATCATAGCACAATTACTTTAAATGCTTAAAAAGTCAAACATACTAATTGGTATTTCTTAAAATGTGCTTCTATATATTTTTATGTTTATGAAACTTTTTGGCAATATAAAAGATTAAAAAAATTGAAGCAAGAAATTACTAAAATATTTATTATTAATGCCAAATTCCAATTAAAAGTACATTTAAAAAGTTAAAATTACATTCTTATAATGTAACAAAATTTAGAAACCAAGAAAATAAAGATTAAATATGATTATAACTTTATTGAAAACTTTACATTTGATAAATTGAAGTATTAGCTTTAAAGAGGAGTGTTATAACTTTTAACTTTAGAAGATGCAACATTAACAATACAATATGACAAGTCAATGTTTGACAAGTCAACATTAACAAGTCAATATGACAATTCAAAAAAGGTACTTTGCTCCCAAGAGGTTCCAACACGTATTCAGACAACACATATTCGAACGTGTATTTAAACAACACGTATTTAAACAACTTGGTCTAGTGGAAATGCTGTTATGGCTCACTCATTTCTTTACTCACTCATTTGATGAAATTGTCAATGTTTTTATCACGTTTGTATGGTGTAAACCAAGTATTTCTGATTCATATTTGCAGAGGTGAATCGTTAGCTCTGGAACAAAGCGGAGCTAAATACAGGCGACTGGAAATCGTGGTAAGCGACTTAGAATGAGCTCAATCATACTTTAATGATAACACGACTAACTCCACTGGTAAAGAGAAACCTGACTAAGAAACCCACATGCATCGTGTGGTTTGACCCTCAATGACCCAACCACCACAACCCAGCAGCTTCAGTTGACCGATTACGTTAAGCAGTTTTACAAAAAGTCTAATGCAGCAATAGATTGCAAAGAAACGTTACAGGATAAGGAGAGTAATGATCAGACTTTAGCTCACCTTTTGTTGACTGAGAATGAACTTTCTCATTAAATCAACTGCAACATCTGCATTACACTGGTAACCAAGCTCCCCATAATATATCAGAGGCAAATGCATCCAATAACAGGCCTCACAAAAATACGTACTGTTAGCATGAGCAACCAGTAATCATGTTTTCTGGATAATCATATTACAATATCGGTTTTCCGGAGAGATGGTAAAGATCTTCAATTGAACATCACCTAGGAGCCGTATCTTCAGAATGAACTTCCCCTAATGCTGTCACAATCTATTGAACAGAAATGAACTCTAGGGAAAACCACCAAGGCTAATAATCAAGAACTCGTTAATTCTAAGATGACCTTTAGAACAAAACTGAACGTTGATGATTACTGAGAAACTCCTGCTGTCTGCTCCTCACTCCTGAGACCAACTATGGGTTGCTTTTTAGCTGCTCTGAAAGTAAGCATTTTATTCAAAGCGCTAATGTAGGCTCGGCAACTGGACACCACAACGTCTTCTGATGCACCTGTTCCGCTGTATGTTCGAGGAACTTGCGAGTCTGTTTGAGCATGGGTCACTGTGAGAGAGTCGAGTGCCCTGATCTGAACTCTTGTATGAGCAAGAGCGTCGATACCTTCAGTCACGGAGTTCAAAGAGTACTCTAAGAGGGTTACAGGAGCTTTCACGATAGTATCCACGGCCTTGTAAGCAGCATCCACTGGACCTGTTCCCACTGACATCCCAATATGCTGAGCCCCATCAGGTCCTTCAAGCTTTACCGTCGCCGTAGATATTCCTGCGTTGCCGCAGACTACCTGGATGAGACCTAAAGACCACAAGGTTTCGGGCTGGAAAACCTCATCAAAGAGTAGGGTTTCCAGATCTTCATTTGAGACATTCTTCTTCTTCTCAGCAACAGCCTTAAACCTCTTGAAAACGTCGTCCAATTCTTGACCATCGACTTCGTAACCAAGCTGATTCAGCCTCTGCTTCAAAGCATGGCGTCCACTAAGCTTTCCCAGAACGATGCCCGAGGCATCCGCACGAACCAGGCCAATGTCATCCGGAGAGAGGATCTCATACGTCCCTTTGTGTTTCAACATGCCATCTTGATGTATTCCACTCTCGTGAGCGAATGCATTTGCACCAACAATGGCCTTGTGAGGTTGCACGACCATACCAGTGTAGTCAGCCACCATTCGGGAGGCAACTGCAATATGCTTTGTGTTAAGACCCGTGTACAAACCTCCGAGCCGCTCCTGGCCTCTGCACCTCAATGCCATCACAACCTCCTCCAGGGACGCATTCCCAGCACGCTCACCAATTCCATTGATCGTCACCTCCACTTGCCGAGCTCCCGCATGTGCGCCAGCCAGGGTATTGGCTGTTGCGAGCCCTAAATCGTTCTGACAATGGGTGGAGAAAATTACTTTGTCAGCACCGGGGGTGTTGGCTTTGAGCTTGGCAATCAGACCGCCGAATTCACTCGGTAACGTGTATCCTACAGTGTCTGGTATGTTGAGAGTAGTGGCACCAGCTTTGATAACCTCCTCAAGAATCCTGTACAAAAACTCGGGATCTGAACGTCCAGCATCCTCAGGACTGAATTCAATGTCTTCGCACCCCAGACTGCGTGCATAAGCTACCATATCCCTGGCAATTTGCACAACCTCCTCGGGGGATTTTTTCAGCTTGTGAACCATGTGAATTTCGCTTGTAGCAATGAAAGTATGAATGCGAGGCCGAACAGCGTATTTGACCGCCTCCCATGCAGCGTCGATGTCTTTCTTGTTGCACCTAGACAGACCACAAATTACGGGAACGTAACCGTCGTCATCCACATTGTTACCAACCTCCTTAGCTATCAGCCGAACTGCTTCGAGGTCATCAGGAGAAGCAATAGGAAAGCCAGCTTCGATAATGTCTACCCCTAATCGGGCCAGCTGCCGCGCAATGTCAAGTTTCTCCTTGCTCGTCATCGTAGCCCCAGGAGACTGCTCTCCATCCCTTAACGTAGTGTCAAAAATGCGCACGTACGAGGGATCATCGATTCTATTGGGAATGTATTGAGGCCTTTTCTTGTGCTGTGCCCCCTGGCATTGAATAAATGCACCAGGGGCAACCTCTCTCGTCTTCGTGCTCCGCACACCATTTCTGCCGCCAGAAAAAGGAACAACAAAGGTGGAGGACAAGCCCGAAGACGATACCTGGGATTTTCGGACTACAGGCTGACACATTCCCACATGACTCGCCTCACGCGATTGCACTACCAATCCATAATTCTTCGCAACAATGCCTACAAAACTCTTCCCCTGAACACACGCCATTGAAATTCTCCCCCCTCGATGCCTCCCACTCTACAAACCAGAGGTTTCGCCGCCGAAAACTTCACACTCTCGAAAATGCGCCCGTTAAACCACGACTGCATCAACAACAACAACGAATTCCGGTTTCCCCCAAACTCAACCTCTAGCAGACACGAAACACAAACCCTACCTTAACACAATCAGAATGCAAGCTCAACTGCCTTTAACCCTAAGAATTGATCTGCTCCTGCAAAAAAAAAAAAAAAAAAAAAAAACAACAACTCCCCTGCTAAACTCTAACAGAATCGGTTCAATTACCAATCTCACTACTCACTGGGCCGACTTGGACACTGTAACAATCGCCACGAAAGCACTCCGACGCGTGAATTGAAGTCCGAGGTGCAGAATCCGGTCAAATTGCTCTTAAAAGTGCCGGTGCACCTCAGAAATTAGAATGCGTGGGCCGCAATCCCAGAGGAACCGCGAGCGTTAAGGTCACAAGGACGAAGTCCTATGAAAGCTATTCGTTCATCGATGGTAAACTAGAGATCTGTTGGATGAGAGATTCCATGCTTATGCCAATGTATTAGGGCTGCATTTCATGCCGGATGCGCTTCGGATAGACACACACTATCCACCACACACTTCTAATGTACTGTATTGGTTTCACATTGGAAATAACTTCAACAAATTTTTCATTGTATTATTTGTAATATATTTACATTTCAATAATATATAGTGTTGCTGTTGCTATTGCTACATCTAATCAAATCGAGACTACTCTCAAAATGGAGGCGGTCTACAGTCCAACAAGGCGGCACGTGATTTGCGCGGGAGGAGTGACAACACAGCTGCCACGTCGGACCATTCTTTTGCCACCTAGACCGAAGAAGAACACGTCCCTACCCCAAAACCGTGCGAGAGGACCGCCGTGTCTGAGCCCTTCAACAACGGCATTGGCCTCCACCAGCATTTGTTGAAGCATTCTGTTGATGCGTCACTTGCTCAATCTGAACTCGAATTGTTTGATGGCGTTTGTGAAGCTCGTGTAAAATAGGTGAAATTCAAGTGGATCATTGATAGCAGGGAGTAGGGTAATTGGAGAATAGTGTATGTAAAGAGTATGTATGGTTTAAGATTTAGGGTTTAGGGTTCTAGACGCTGAACTCCATGTTGCGATCGCTTCTGCAAGCGTCGGTCGCTGCTTCGCGCCGAGCGGTGGCGTGGAATTTAAATGACATTGCTCCTCCCTCTGAGCAAGTTCTCTTCAGGTTCGTATGGGATCTCATACCTCGGGTATTTTGTTCTGAGTCTCGGGTGAATTTTCTGACATAGGTTCTTTCTGATAGGGATATTGTTACAATACTATTGTTGCAGTCTTTTTCACTTCCTTCACAATTGTAGTTTTTTTTTTTTTTTTTTTTTTTTTTTTTGGAATCTTGGTGCATTGCAACCAGTTATTTATGGTTGGGAACTATATATGAGATTGGGGATAAATTATTATTTTGGGTGGTATTTCAACTTGGATGCATCGTTTTCGAATGCAATCTCCAATGCCTCAAACTCAGTTTATCCTCGAAGCATGCGCATAAGATTATTGGCCTCTGGATTTATCCGTGCTGACCTTGACGTGATTGGTTCAGGTTTGCCTCAGTTGCTGATTTGAGCCCCTGGAAGGTCTACTCCGATCACGAGCATGGGGGCTTGTCCAAAGCATCGCTTGAATTGAACAAAGAAAGTGGTCAGACTGGTGTGTTTTCTGGCACACTCTCTGTAGATATGCCTGATGATACCAACATACGCATGAAACGAAGCGGTTTTACAGGCATGCGAACATCACATGAAGATGACTGTCTTGATCTTGAAGCTTTTGATACCATTGCATTTCGACTCAAGGGCGACGGTAGGGTTTATGTATCCAATATTCGAACTGAAAACTGGATAGGGGGCCTGGGGGCATCTCCATCGAATACTTGGCAAGCTTTTGTATTTGCTCCTGCGGGGGAGTGGTCTGTCGTCAAAATACCATTCAACAAGTATCTTCCTACGTGGAGAGGAAAGATTATAGATTCCAATCAAGACCTTAATGCAGCTCGTGTGACTGGTATGGGACTTTCTGTCGCAGCTGATGGGGGACCAGAAGGCGCAGTTCAAGGACCTGGAAAATTCCGGTTAGAGCTAGATTGGATTAAAGCTAGAAGGAGTAAATGATCCTTGTTCTCCTCACTTTTATTGCAGGCGATTGGATCCTGCTTATATGCAAAGATCATCACTAATTGTGACAACCAGCTTCCCTGAATGCTTGAGGACATTGATACTAGTATTTGTTGTTTATGCATTGGTACTTTGGTTCTTGCCATTGTTTTCTCAGTTCTCGTTGAAACTGAAGGACACAAAAAGAGGAGTTGAAGTTTAAAATACCCAATCTCGAGGGACATAGATATTTTGAGCATTTGATAGCATGCACGCACGTTTCTAGCGATCTCTGAGAATTATTGTCGGTCAGAAAATGTCCAGTGCGCCACAGTAGATGTAAAGAAGGCCTGATTTTTTTTCTTCATTAGAGTGTCTTAAGTACATCTCAAAGTGGGTGTAATTAAGAGAAGCAGGTCGTTTGCTCAACCAGTACTGACGAAATGTTCAATGAGTCACGGCATGCCAATTTTTTCACTGGGTACCTCTTCTGGGTAGAAATAGACCCTCTAAAGAATCTCTGGCGTTCACAGAAAGAACCCCTGGAAAGAACACCTCAGCAAAACAGTCACAACTCAAAAAATTTAACTTGAAAGGTTAGTTCTGAGTCTGTAATATGCTCTTCCATTCACTGCATAGAAAATCTCCAAGTCAACCACAAAGCTAGAAAGTCCCATCATAAAGAACCACTAAACAACTCAGAGTACACATAAACTTTGTTTGTTTTTGTCAAGGATGTAGAGTCTTGACTTAATTTATTATTGTTATTGTTATTTTTATTTGTTTTTTGTTTAAAACTTAAAAGTGGGTTTTTTGTTTTTTGTTTCTTGTTTTTTTTTCTTTAAATAATTTTTTTACAGTAATATTAAATTGACAAAAATAAATCTTAAATTTACCCACCTTTATTCATATTGTTGTGTATCATGTCATATATTCCTCACCAATTCCTTACTTCTGCACTTTTGGAGTTTTTTTTATTTTTATTTTTATTTTTTTTTCCTCATTTAAAAATATTGACAAACATCCAAGAACTTTATGGTATTCCAACTCATTATTGAGATAGAATAGAATGACTCCTATACTTTCATGTGGTGTTAATAATAAAATCCATTTGATATGCGCTAAAGACAAATTTATTATGATTCAAGGATGACCTTTTCCAAATTGGGGAGAGATATATGATGTAGTATAAGACAAAAATATAAAAGTTGGATCAATTTGAGATTTACTTGGATTACTTTAATATTCCACTATTAAGAAGCTCTTAAGAAGCTTTGCCATAAGATATTATCAAATCTACTTATATTTATCTTCTACCTAATACTTTTTATCCAGGTAATTATGAATGTTTGTGACACTACTACAAGTACAAGAAAAGCAAGTATTAATATGTCATAGAAGTTCCATAGAATAAGATCAAAATTTCAAAGATTTTTACGATGTTTCAAGTCCTATCTAAGTTACATTTTTTTCAATATCTTTATAGATTTAGTTGAGTTGAATTCATAAGCACATTCCTATTTAGAAGTATTCTTTTTAATTTGCATATTTGATGGAAAAAAATTAACAACTTGTATATAATCCAAATTCATATTTAAAGTATTTAGAGTCCTACTTGAAGCAAGTAATCAAGAAAGAATAGCCAAGAAATAAATAAATAAATAAATCCAATTTTTACAACAAGAATTACAATTAATTACCATATATATTGTTAAACTCCAAAATCTTGATTGCAACGTGGATTGGAATGATAAAGTTATTAATTAATTTTGATATAAGTTAAAAGATAGTATCAAAGATTTATTGTTAACATTTTATTGGATTTAGAATCATTGGAATAACTTATTGCTCAAGCCATTGCACATGACAATTTATTTGATAAAGACTTATTAAAACAATTTGTTGCTTAAACTATTACACATGATAATTTATTGAATATAGACTCATTATAATAATTTATTACTCAAGTCATTGTATACAATAATTAATTTTTTGAAAGATACTAAAAAAAAGATTTTATCAATTAAACAAATCAAGTCATAAAAAGAATTTCTAGGTTTTTAGAAATTTAGTCATCAAAACTAAAACCTATGTAAATTGATACAATATGTTTCAAATCTTTCACTAAGCAAAAAAATGATTTTATGTTATTAAAAAGATTTGTACTTATATTGTAGAAAACTTAAACACATTGCTCAACATTGTCTAAAGAAGCAATACAATTATAAAATAAGGAGCATGGTTGCCAAAGAGAATGATGTGTTGAAAAATAAGTTTGTTGAGTTACAATAGATACTACGCAATTAGAATCTAGTGCAATACTCAATAAAAGTCTAATTCTTTTTTTAGATTTTTAGCCTTTTTTTAAAATAGATATTTTTTGAGATTAAAAAATTATAATGCCTTTGCCTTACAAATTCTAAAGCCTCATCTTATTTTATAGACAAAGACTTTGTTAATTTTTTTTTAAAATGTCATTTGTCAAGAAAATTAAGCCTATGCATATAGAAGCCATAGATAGTCGTTTGTTATCTTTTGGAGATATTATCAATGAAATAATTTCTTTAGATATATTAATTAATGATTATAATAGTTTAATAATATTCATTATTATTATTATTATTCTTTTAATTTAATTATTTTAGATTTATTGTAGCGAGAGAAGTATAATCTATTATGACTACTATTAATAAATTTTAATTGATATAATTATTAAAAATATAATTTTAATTTATTTTAATTTAAAAATATTAGAATAAGAGAATAATTTTTTATATTTAAGTATTTATTAGAATTTTAAACTATTTATAGGATATAAGAATTTTATTTAATAATAGTTATAAAAATAGAGTGCTAGTAAGTCTTGGAGATAATTATCTTAGTTGGTTTATATTAATGAGATATTCATTAGATGAATAACTTAGGCCAATAAAAATGCTACTTTAAAGGTGAAACTTGGATAATTACTACACAAATTACAATAACTATATAAGATTGATTGAATAAAGACCAAGATAGATAAAGATTAATTAGATGGAGACACGAATGGATAAAAAATAGTCAAATGAAGATTAATTGGATAAAGATCAATATGAATGAATATTAATTGGATAAAAATTTATTAGATGAAGTTTAAAATGGCCGAAATTTAAGATAGATGTAAAGTAGTCAAATAAAAACCATAATTAATAAAGATCTTTTTAAGGCAAAGATTAGGATTTAGAGGTAGTTAGGATTTGATGGCCATTAAGATTTGGATGAAGATTTTAAGGACTTTTAATCTATTCTTTTTTTTAGACTTTTGTGTATGTTGATATTATTTATATTATTATTATTGTTAGAGATTTGTAAAAGTATATATGATAATTTTGGCTAAAAAGGGCTTAAAAAACCAATTTAAGCAAGTATATATTGTTTATATTAAGATATGTATAATATTACAATCTTTGATGTTGAAGGAAATAAAATCTTATATTATTGGATCTTATATTATATAGATAGTTTTAGATTAATTTAATATATAAGTATTATAGATTAGGTTATTATAAATATAGATCTATATCAAATTTAAGTAAACATGTGAGATTTGGTTATAGATCTAAATTTTAAGGATTTAAAATTAGAAACTAACATTGGACTAGGAATAGTGCCTAAGGTAGTAAATCATTCTTATAAAATTTTGAAGAACAAGTAGTTGTTACTATCCTTAATGGAAATAGACGCTGCTTTGACTTTATAGGTGTCTTTAATTGACTTTTTGGATTAGAAACGTGGTCAACAAGTTGGCCATGTGCCACACATGTTGTTAGCTTGAAGATCAAGCTAACTATGTGGCCCACACGTAGAAAAACTTGCCTTGTAAGTCAAGGCATGTGTCCTACAAAATCAACGCATATTTGAGGTCCTATAGAACATCGCCACGTAGCCCCTAGTTAGATAGTATATATAGAGACAAGAGTGAAGGCTTCTTCACTCTTATCAACTCCTTTCTTACTTCTAGTCTAGTTTCAAGGGTCTCTAGTTTTCTTGTCTTTTGGCAATAGCCATTCCAGTTTCTATTTCAATATATATACTTGTTTATATATATTTTGTTACCTCTCTTTGAGTGAAGGCTCACTTGTCTGAATTGTTTTTTCATCAAGTTCTTGTCCTTGAGAGATTGACAAGAGTACACCTACAATATCAGAGCTTTGTCTAATCTTGATTAAGAGTGGATTATTCTTTTTTCTTGATAAGATATAAGCATATTAGAAGTTACGGATTACCCTCTTCTAAACTGATATTGTCCTTATTATTTTCTTTGTACTCAAGTCCTCTCTTCTATTTGTCTTGAGCGATATTAGACATCTTCTCTCTTCTAAGTGTTATCATGGCAGAACTTCTCAAAATGAAGAGTGCAATGGCACAAATGCAAGAGCAATTGAGGGAGTTAATGCTTGCGATGCATTAACTCAATTTACCACAACAAGAAGCAACAAGATTGGCAGGAAGTGAAGATATAGAAATGGTTGGAGTTGCTTCAACATCTGAATCAAACCATATTCTTTCTCCTATGGTGGAACACCCTTCAAATGTTAGAGAACCAAGAATTACCCTACTCGAGAAGTTTGATGGCACCAGATCCAAGTTTCGAGGATTTATCAATCAAGTGCAACTCGTGATTGAACTTCAACCCCAAAGCTATCCAACTCCAGGATCTTAAGTTAGATTCATTGGTACGCTTCTTTCAGGTTCAGCACAATCATGGTTTTCATCTTTTCTTGAACGACGAGATCCAATATTGGATAATCTAGAGGCTTTTTTGGCGGAGTTTCGATCCATGTATGGAGAATATGATGCAATTCGTGTTGCAACCAATAAGATCCGTATTTTACGACAAGGCAATCGATCAGTAACGTTATATGCTTCACAATTTTGACAACTTACAATTGATATCAAGTGAGATGATGTTGCACTTATTAGCCAATTTCTCTACGGATTATAATATGACGTAAAAAAATTAATGCTCAACTTACCTGATCCTCAAATATTGAGTCAAGCAATTGACTTTGCTGTGAAGTATGACAATCGTCTTTTTGAATTCCGATCTGAAAACCATACAAGTGG